TCTCTTCTCGATTGCTCTCAACGCTTCTCCTTGAAAAGGAAAGGTAGGAGCACTTTAACGACGGAATGTACATATGCGCGCGAAGGTGCCGGACAATTTAAGGCTCTTTTGCCTTCAGTAAAACCGGGCAAAACATTGACTAAGTTGATTTAATTCGCATGAGAGGGCTTCGGGACAATCGAGGTGTCAAACATCCTCATTTTGTCTGTTCGCAACTTTCTTTCAATTGCTGGCAGTTGTCCCTGTCGGTGGACCACCCCCCCAAAAAAAATTCCTAGATTGAGCTTTCTTTTTTTTGCCAAAATGAAAAAGAAGTTCTCGCTTATTTTATAATTTTTTTCATACTTTATTTAGATGTGGGCACTCTTCAGCCCGAGGACAATCTCTCAAATACACATTAAGATGTTGACCCTTTTTCTTTTCTTTGTGATCCTCTCAATGAAATTTTCCATGTTGCACTAAGTTACTTACGGATGTATGCATGCAGTCCGGGAAACACTTTGGGGTAAACACCCATCCAAACAACTCCAACAAGAAAAGTATAAATATGAAAACTTCTCTACCATTTAGATCGGAGAATTTATGGAGGAAATCCGGTTTTAAATTCCCAGAAACCACACGATTATATAGCCAAAGGAATACGCCGCGCCTAAAATCATCCCAAGCGCTTGCTAATGTGGCTACTAAGCTATTTCTTTGGAAAGCTCCTACTAAGATGAGAAATTCCCGATAAAGCTGCTAGTACCAGGTAAACTCATATTGGCCAAAGTGAAAAAGAAGAAAATGGTAGAGAAATTCGGCATGGTGCTCACTAAACCTCCGTAATATCTAACAAGTCGAGTCTTATGTCGGTCATAAGAACACCAACACATAGAAAAAGGGCTGAAGAAAACCAGTCCATGACTTAACATCAGTAGAATGCTACCTCCAATTCCCTGTATGTTCAGACTAAACATACCAATAGTCACCAGATTCATATGAGCTACTGAGGAGTAAGCAATGATCTTCTTAAGATCGATCTGTCTTAAAGTGGTCAAGGACGTATATATTATAGCAATCGCGCTTAAAGTATAAATGAAAGGAGTGAAACAAAGTGTCGCTTCAGGAAACATGGGTATTGAAAATCTTAAAAAGCCGTAGGTTCCCAATTTTAAAAGAATTCCCGCCAAGATGACGGATCCTGCCGTAGGTGCCTCTACATGAGCTTCGGGTAACCAAATATGAACTGGTACCATAGGCACTTTGACGGCGGCGAAAGAGGCGAAAAAAAGCAATCCATAGAAAGATTTGGGCGCCGCTCACTAAATTCTGTGGTTAATAAATTTGTAAATCGGTGGTTCCTGTTTGGAAAAGAATCAACAGAATAGCTAATAGCATAAAAACAGATCCAAGTAAAGTATAAAGGAAAAGCTGATATGCTGCCTTGATCTTTCTTTGTCTCGAACCCCATACCCCTATAATAATGGTAGAGTAAGGGGTGGCCCCAAAGCGGGAATTGACCGGTGGTGATTGGTCGAAGCTCCAGTAGGTAGCACTCCCTTCTCGGGGACCGTACGTGAGACTTCCGCATCATACGCTCCGTCCCGAGCTTCCGTCGTCGGCCTTGTCATTAGACCACTATCTATGCATGTATTTTCAGCCTGGACTCTAGAATCTTTTGCTTCTCGGGTGGTGGCGAACAATGCTGCTTGCGTTGGGGATGCCCGCCCGTAGGGCCCGGCCTGCTCCCGCCCGAAAGAACCACTCACTAGCTAGCCGGACTAGTGGGGGGCCTATCTGGAGACATACTGAAAACCATGCCTTTCGAACCAAACGCAACGCCCGTCTTCCAAATCAAAAGAAAAAAAGGGGGAAGAAAACGAAGGTGCAGCCTGTAGAGCACATGTAACGCACAGTCGGGTGCTCACGCAGCGGATCTCTCTCTTTTTAGATATCTATAGATAAAGAGAGAGAGGTGTGAAAGTAATAGCTTTATGTTATGGCCGCCCCCCGGCTTACGGCCTTTACGCTACTACTACTGTGATGTGAGCGGTTCAAATTGGTTTGATCTTTCCCGATCATCCTGGCGGAACTTGTACGCAGCACTTATACGGAGGTGCATGCATAAAGGTTTGGAACTTTTTTATTATCTGAACTTAAGAACTGGACCCTACCCTATTCTCGAACCCTCTGCCGAGCTCCACCCTGCCCGCATTTCTTTTTTTTTTTTTTTTCTTTTTTGAAGGGGCAAAAGAAATGTCTCCACCTGCTGCCAACAGTCTTCTTCGGATTCTACTAACGGGTCGATCCTCCCCCCCCCCCCCGTTTGTTTTAGCAACTTATCCTAAGGTCTCCTCGCCAAGAGCTCCCCGGCGACGACAGAGGAAGCAACCCGCCTGCTGTGGCGGGGCGGCTTTTTTCTTTCACAATAAGACCTGGACGATTATCCCTACCCTCGGTAGCTTACGAGTTTACGTCCATCCCTGGTCGGGTACAGTTTCCTTTTCTTTCTCCCTTGTAG